GTGTCTGTCACTAGTGTCTCCTTGTTTCAGGATGTGATGAAGGCTGTGTCTGTCACTAATGTCTCCTTGTTCCAGGATGTGATGAAAGCTTGTCTGTCACTCATGTCTCCTTGTTCCAGGATGTGATGAAGGCTTGTCTGTCACTAATGTCTCCTTGTTCCAGGATGTGATGAAGGCTTGTCTGTCACTGTCACTAATGTCTCCTTGTTCCAGGATGTGATGAAGGCTTGTCTGTCACTAATGTCTCCTTGTTCCAGGATGTGATGAAGGCTTGTCTGTCACTAATGTCTCCTTGTTCCAGGATGTGATGAAGGCTTGTCTGTCACTAATGTCTCCTTGTTCCAGGATGTGATGAAGGCTTGTCTGTCACTAATGTCTCCTTGTTCCAGGATGTGATGAAGGCTTGTCTGTCACTAATGTCTCCTTGTTCCAGGATGTGATGAAGGCTTGTCTGTCACTAATGTCTCCTTGTTCCAGGATGTGATGAAGGCTTGTCTGTCACTAATGTCTCCTTGTTCCAGGATGTGATGAAGGCTTGTCTGTCACTAATGTCTCCTTGTTCCAGGATGTGATGAAGGCTTGTCTGTCACTAATGTCTCCTTGTTCCAGGATGTGATGAAGGCTTGTCTGTCACTCATGTCTCCTTGTTCCAGGATGTGATGAAGGCTTGTCTGTCACTCATGTCTCCTTGTTCCAGGATGTGATGAAGGCTTGTCTGTCAGGCTGTGATGAAGGCTTGTCTGTCACTCAATGTCTCCTTGTTCCAGGATGTGATGAAGGCTTGTCTGTCACTAATGTCTCCTTGTTCCAGGATGTGATGAAGGCTTGTCTGTCACTCATGTCTTCTTGTTCCAGGATGATGGCAATGACTCAGATGACTTTATGTGACTGGGACACATGAAGGTTAAGGACGCCCATGACATCCTGGACACACCACTTGAACAATATCAAGGGAATCCGCCATGCTCATGGGTCAGGGAAGGCCAACAGTTCCACCACATGCCAACAATGATCCAATCACTGTGTGTTCTTCTACCGTGGGATGTGGTTTTTACCAATCACGTCAATGGTTACACACGGGTCAAAGCATGGAAACAGTTGGCCAGATTGGAAGATTTTGTGATCGAGTGCTAGTGAGATTTTAAAGCCTCATAATTGAGAAATCACCAGGTGGACATTCAGAACTGTGATCTATATGGACAAGTCCTGCGCATCATTAGGAGATGAGGTGTGTGTGAGTTGGATGTGTGACCTGCTCATATTAGTTGACTTCAGTGATACAAGAGTCAGTATCTGATATCTATATGTGATATACCCTGCTTTGTGCCTTGAGGGGAAAAATGCCAGCATCTGATGTCACGCCAGTAATGTCAAGCCACAGCGACTGTTGTCAACTGTTGCCCAGTCTCAAGGCTACAACATGCATCGCTTGGAACATTGATTCATTCTATCACTGTCAACAAGCCCCATCAGCACAGGCTCATTCAGTGTGCGAAATAGCCACCGGCCCGCTAGCCTGTGGCTAGTAAAAATCCAGTCGGGCCAGTAAATCTCCACAGTCACTGGCTCAATGATGAAACCTGTGTCTACATTTAAATTTCGGGCTAGTGGAGTATTTTGTGGGCTAGCAACTTTCAGGCATAGCTAGCCCGACTGGCTAGCAAAATATGGAACCTTTTTCGCACACTGGGCTCATTATAAGAGTTGGTTTACAGATTACATCGTCCTAAGACCTTCCTGCTGCTCCAGCTAAGAACTGAATAAAACCTTACATATTTTAGCTGAATTTACAGATACCCCAACCAAAATAATTGAAAATTAGCAAAATATATACAATTAAGGTCTTTACATACTGCCAGTGGTAAAGGTAATTAATTTGGGACAATAACAACAACAGTGAAATGCTGCTGTCAGGTTTCCAAATTTTATTTATGATGATCCACACCATGATTTACCATCTATCCTATCTATTGTTTTCACATGCCAATTCTAATCAAACTTTAAGATGAATTAAAAAATACTGTACTGTTCAGTCTTACCAACCAAATATTTTGCTATCCAAATTTGTAAACCCCAAAAGAGAAAATCTGGTCTGTTGACAAAAGGAATGGCTTTTCCCTTCCATCATTTCTTGTAGACATTTTTATTTATTAAGTACAAAAGTAATATTAAGATACAGTCAAATCTTTGCAAGTAGAAACTAGATAAAAACAAGAAAAGTAAGATATGTAGGTACTGCTTTAAGGATATCCAACAGCATACTTTATGCAGGGCTCCAGATAATTTTTGAACACCAGGAGTACGTACTCCTTATTTTTTCAATATAGGAGTACTCGAAAACCTTAAGCCTACATTTAGAGTACTGAATGGAAATAATGGAGTATCAGTTTCGTTTCATATATGCACCACAACATTGCTAGTCTTGTGTAAACAGGTCAATATACAATAAAACAAATACTTTTTCAGATAAATACGTCTGTAAATGATTCTAAGACCGTACACCATTACCGTGATGCGTATCTGCTACGTTTTATAAATTATTTCCTACCTTATCCGTACATACGCTGATACGGCCCTTATCTGGAGCCCTGCTTTATGTATGCATCTTAATTTTACGCTCATGTATGATAGCTCTTAGCATTTGTTCAGACAATGAAACATTCAAGACACAGTATATGTACCTCACAGAATATTCTGTTACTTATTGGTCTTTCCTATGTTCAAGCTCTAATACTTTCAGCATTGTTCAGTTTTCCAACCAACCAAACCTACTTTCAGTTTTAGACTCTCATTTGTCAGATCTCTCACTTTGTAGTGATCTTTGTGATTTACCACTTTCATAACTTATTACTTTAGTTTCTTCCCTTGTTTATATTGTACAGTGATGTAATTATTGTAGACATTAATACATTTACATGTTTACATCGTTTTAAATTTTCTTTTGAAAAATATTGAGTTTAGCATGTATTGACTGCCAATTATTGTTGAGTTGTACATTTGGAAATTACTTCAGTACTTTTTAGTGAAATTTATGGTCTTAGAATCTGTAAGCTAACCCTTCATATTTTATTTCAAGACAATGTCAAATGTTATATTTTTTCAATCAAATAAAAATTATCCAGTTGTATAACCATGATTTAAATAAGTGGTTTGTTATGTGATTTTTGGTTTATTTCAAATGAATTTTTCTTAACTTTCTGATGGAATGTTTCCACCAGTTATTTTGATTACCGGTATAAGAAACAAAGTAAAACCTGGAATACAAATTTGTAAAGTGTCTGACATTTCATTACTCATATTGGGTAGGTGAATGTATGTTATTCAGTTTGCTTCTTTCTTATCTATCTTACTGTACTGTAACATGATGCCAGTATGGAGCCCAGTACAGTATTAAATCAAAAATGTATAGGAATATCTCAAACACATTCCACTTGACCTTGACCGGTGCTTGTGTACAGGTCACAGGTCAAATATCCAGTTAACCTTACTCATTAGGCCACAACAACTTGTTTTGTTCTTCATGTTTATCACAGCTCTCTCAACCACTTTCCTCATGAAGAATTGATCTTCAGTAACCCATGCTAAATGTAATGCTAGGTTTAGTGTCTTCTACTTGTGAAGATCCGGGTTATAATTGGTCTTCAGCAGCCAAAGCTTGTCGGAACAGGCGACTAACGGGATCGGGTGTCAGGTTCACTGACTTGGTTGACATGTCATCGTAGCCCAAATCTGGGTTTGTCAGCACCATACCCGTCTGTGTGGATTTCACCGAAGTGGTAAATGTCTGAGACTAGCATTGCTTTGGGCTTTGCTCTCACATCATGCTAACACTGTTATAAAACTTGCATATAGTTCATAGCAACTAAATCTTTGAACTAACTTTACCTGTCTTTTAAATTTTCAACAACTCTGAATAAGAGTGAGATGGATATAGCAATTATAAGAAGGAATAAAATTTGACCAGTGTTTCTGAGAAATATGTTATTTGTAAACAACATCACTGGATGCTTTTGCAAAAAAAATCTGACACACAATTTGTTAGTTTGTTGTTATCTCTACAAAACTTTCAGCTGAGGCATTTCAAAACTTGATTTGTTTGTCTTTTCTCGTTATGAAACGTGTACTTTTCTGACTTGAGATACTAGTGGGGCGGGTGGGGTAGCCTAGTGGTTAAAGCGTTGGCTCGTCACGCTGAAGACCCGGTTTGATTCCCCACATGGGCACAATGTGTTAAGCCCATTTCTGGTGTCCCCCGCCGTGATATTGCTGGAATATTGCTAAAAGCGGCGTAAAACTAAACTCAGTCAGTCAGTGAGATACTAGTGTGCCCACACTCTGTCCAGTCTTGGTACCACAGTGACTCCTACTTCTGGATGTAGTCCAATTCTGCTGGATGTGCTAGGGCTGTGAGGGGCAGTGGAGTAGCCTAGTGGTTAAAGCATTTGCTAGTAACACCGAAGACCTGGTTTCGATTCCCCACATGGGTACAAGCTGATGTGTGAAGCTGATTTCAGGTGTTCCCCGCCATGAAATATTGCTTAAAGCAGTGTAAAACTAAACTCACTCATTCACTACAAGGGCTGAGTGGATGGTTGTCAGAGTGTTGTGCTTTCTTCATCGTTACTTGTCAAGTATGTTATTGTAATTCCGATATGATATACATTCCCTTTACACGCATGCCTCCAAAACAGTGTTGCAAAAATAGCGTCACAATATCCATTCTATTGTATTGCTAACCAAATGAAAAATTCTGTTGCTGAAGAACACCCAATCAAAATTTCACGTTACTACAAACTGTAGTTTAACAGATCATTATTAGCTGGAATGGGCCAAAATAGGATATCTGAATTCCATCGTTTTTAATGTTAAAAAAATCATAATGCAATGGATGTTTAATGTTATACATGCATCCCAATAGAGTTTGAGAATGCACCGAATGATTTACACAGTGACTCACGGGGGATAGAAAGAATATGTGGGTCTGTATCTTTGAATTAACCAACCATGGTAGCATACACATAATATTTTAATTCCTTTCCCTAAGGACCATGTAATAATGATAACAAACTGAATGAATTGCAGTGTCAGTGTTAGCTTTTGTCAATATACAAACAGACTACATTTTGGATGTATCTGCACTCACTGCTTATATCACTTGCCACTGCTTGCGAAAAGATTATCTTTCCTGATGTGTTTATTTAAATCACAATGAACTGTAGACACTGTCCGTCAGTAAATTGTATGTATGCCATTACTGATATTGAAATTGGCTTGAAAACGATGGGGTCTTTTATCAGATGTATTTATTTAAGTCACAATGAACTGCAGATACTTCAGTGTTGGTTTATGGTACTACATTACCGATAACATCACCTGGTTAACTGATGAAGGGAGGAGTGATAGTGTGCTGAAACTGGATATTGTGTGAATGCATGTTAGGTTTACCTTGCATTCCATGGGGCTTTGAAACATGCACTAAGTAAATGTTGATATAAGGGTAAAATTGGGAAGGGTAGTAATGGTGTAGATCTCAAACAAACTTCTGTGTTTTACAGAATACCTGCTATCTTTGATATACTGCTCAAATTACCTTCATGTTTTACATGTAATATGACAATGATGACTATCAGAAATGGATATTGACATGTTATTTACCCACATAATATTTTCCTTAATTTGTTACCTCCATAATTTGGTAATTAGGCCAGACTAGATTTCAAATTTGGTTACAGATGCACTGTCTCCCAAACCTTGAAATTGAAAATAGAAAATGAAATCAGTAGGTTTATATTCTGCCGAAAAGAAATAAGTAAATTCATGTACTGTTGCTAATCCAGCCAAGACATACATTGTTATTTCATTCCCTATTCTATGCCACTCCAACTACCAATTCTCCCTGTTCCCCATTCCACCCTCTCCCCGTTCTACTCCATAACTGAAAAAGGTCTGTCCTGATGACTAGAATAATTATCCTTCCCAACGACTTATCTCAAGTTAAATATGGATGCAGATATATCTCATTTATGATCTATTGTCAACATGATATTTCCAGGTGTGCTCTTTGAAAATTTTCAAAGTTTTAAACATCATTAACTCACATCAATTCAGTCTTTGTTTACAGGACAAACTGACATGTAGTCAGATAGTGTTCAAAGAATCATGAAACTAACCCCCTCATCAAAATACTTTTACATATACAGACCTGCTTGGCCATCTACAACATATTGAAAGGAAAACCAAGTTCTATGGATGGTGAACTTCTTTATTGCAATGAGGGGGACGTTTCGGGTAGGTACTAACACCCATATCAAGCAAGTGTTAGTACCTACACCAAAACGTCGCACTCATTGCAATGAAAGAAGTTCACTATCCATAGAACTTGGTTTTCCTTCACCTATACAAGTTCTAAAATACCTCTCAAAGAAGTTAAAACATAATTACTTGAATATGTTGAGTATTGTGAATAAAACACATACTGTTTGCTGCAGATTTGGTGTTATATTCTGGGTAACTCAACTGGAGTAAACCCCACTATGAACCTAAGACAGCACACCAGGTACCACAACCATACTAGTGTGTCGAGGATGAATCTATAATATGCAAAGGCTGTACTGAATATGCACTTGAAACTAATTAAAATATTCTTAAACTTTCTCACTGACTTTGTTGTCTGTTTCGTAAAGAGATGTTTTTTGTTTGTTTTACCTGCACTCAGCAATTATCCAGCTACATTATGCTATATACACGTATAATATAGTCTGGACAAGGAAATTTTATCAAGACATGGAAATAAATTACAGAATAACCAACAATTATTTGTACATTATTTCATGAGCTCAGATAATACATGAGTTTTTTTTACTAGCCAAATTATTTACCTAAATAAATGTGTACAAAAGGGGCTTTCGTGATCACAAGTGGATACATCACCACAAGCTATTGATTGTTTGAAAGATATTGCATAAAACAGCTGGTGACTCCAAGGACAATGAATGCCATCTTTTATAATGATGATAATAATAATACTGATACCATGATAATGCACCAGGCTTCATTCACCAAATTGAATGCATGAATCCTTATTACCCAGGTCGAGTGGCTTGATTTTAATTCTCAGCTCCCTGTAAGATCAAATCTCCCGTGGCCATCTCATCATACCTGGTCTCCATTCACTGCTGGGTGAACATCACTTCGGGCTTCCTCGTCAGCCAATGACATGCCAGGATATAACAGTAATACTGTACATGTAATACTAACAGTGCTCAACCTTAAACTTAACTTGCGAGCTGATGTGTAAATCCTGTTGTAGAATATGTGAAGCGTTACTAAGTTTCCAAGTATCAAATATGAATTACCCATGAGAAATTGTCCTAAAAGAAAGTTTGCTTCTCTGTTGAAAACAAACTAGATCTGACTAACATTCCTTTTAGCCGTTATTCCTCTGCATTTTATCAACAATCATGCAGTTTTCATCTCCCAAGTCGGGAAAGATGCAGATTAAGTCCATAGCAACATATTTTTCATAAAAAATATCCCACAAAAAGCGATCTAAACACATTTAGAACCAAACTAATTAAAACATTACTTTCTAAAAAATTAAATAAATTCTTAAATTATATTCGATAGTCGACTGATATTATCACTATAGAAAATACACTAAGAAAAACGCGTGCGATTGATCACTTGTAATATAATTCATATTTGACAGGCCGATATAGCTGGAATAGGACAGCATAGGCGGATCCAGAGGGTTGGGGGGTGCAGGGTGCGCACCCTCCCATTTGTCCTGAAATTTTATTAACTGACCATTGAAACTCTCGTGAAAATGAAGTGTGCACACCCCTTTCTCAAGAGTGTGCACCCCTACTTTCTCAATAAACTGGATCCGCCCCTGGACAGAGATGGGTCAGGTGTCAGTAAAACTAAACGTTGGGGTTTCTACTCAAACTTCAGAAACAGTGTAAACAATTTTTACATAAAGTCATGACACAAATGTGGACAAATCGTCACAATGCATATCAAGTCGACCAATGGAAGTTTGTCAAAATGGGAATTTGAGTGGGCACTGTATCGCGATTGTATCAAAATTTAACTCTCATTAACTTAAATCCAACCTACACCTAAAGGCTAAACTTGCAAGTACACGCAAGGTTTCAGAAAGAAAGTTTGTGTCCGTGCAGAGACTGAGAATAAATCATTTGGGTATTTTCTTTTTGGGGGAAATTACTCGTTGAATTTCGTTCGCTGTCAGCAATATTTCAACTGTTTCACGGCTGCCTGAAATCCTGAGCAACGGCTGCCTGAAATCCTGAGCAACATGCCCATGAAGATCCGGGTACAGTTGATCTACAGCAACCCTTGCCTGTCGTAAGAGGCGACTAACGGGATCGGGTGGTCAGGCTCGCTGACGTGGTTGACACATGTCATCGTATCCCAATAGCGCAGATCGATGCTCATGCTGATGATCACTGGATTGTCTGGTCAAGACTCTATTATTTACAGACCGCTGCCATATAGCTGGAATAGTGTTAAAAGCGGCATAAAACCATTCTCACTCACCCACACCGTGACCTTCAAAATGATCCCAGTTTTCAGAATAATATGCTTTGCTTGTGAGAAACAGAGACATGTTGTGTAACTCTGACCAGACAGTCACGGCTGGGTCGCCATATCAGTATGATCAGAGAAGTGAAAGACACGATGGAGCTGATTTAAAAAAGAAGATACAATGTAAAAATAAAAGCAAAGAAAGATTCAGGCTCAAGTTGTGAAATCTGCGTGGTTATTACCTGATACATTTGACCAGACAGCCGAATATTCACCCTTTACTTTCTTCCCAGCTAACACGGAAATGTTTTAAAAATATCCCCAAAACATTTCGTGAAATGTTCCAGAAACATTTTTTAAAATGTTTTATTCACGTGATTTTGTATGGTTCCAGAAATGTTTTAGAAACATTTTCAAAAACGTTTAACTATAAGGTTTTTAAAATGTTTTCCTGAAATGTTTTTTCGAGATGTTTTGGAAATGTTTTAAAAAATGTTTTATTCACGTGATTTTGTATGGTTCCAGAAACGTTTCAGCAATGTTTTCTCCAACATTCAGTGAATATATTCCATAAAGGTTTTCTGAAAACGTTTTATAGATGCGATTTTGTATGGTTCTGAAAACGTTTTAATAACATTTCCTTCGAACATATAGTTTTAACCTTTCAAGCATATAGAATAGCCCTGATAACAATTAGGTGTTTTTTGTTTAAAACGTAAACCACTGGAACAAAACGTAGAACACTAACAGTTAACAATGTACATAATAAACTCTGTCAAAAAAGAAACGCAACCCCTGTCCTCAGATATGAAAAATTCGTTTGAATGAAGTTATTGCTTCCAAACTAAATGTTATTCGAATGTATTGAAATTATACACGTAATTAATGAAGATTACCATCCAAACAACTGCATTTGTACGCATAAGTGTATTTTATTGCTTATTCCGTCACAACGCATGAAATGACCCTCATGGTGACTTCGCACAAAAAAAACACATGCAAATCATGAAAATGGCAGTTAATGTAGGGGTGTATAAAAGCCCATGTGCTTTCGTATTATATTCATTCATTTGTCGCATGAAAAGCTGTGTGAAAAATGCCACGATTGAGTGCTGCCGACCGAAATATCGCCATTGGTCGTGTTCGCTGGAGAAAGTTTTGGAACTGTTGCACGGCACCTAAATGTTCACAAAACAACGATATCCCGACTTTGGAGCCGCTACAACAACTTCAATTTGACCAACGATCGCCCGAGAAGTGGAAGGCCAAGAATCACGACCCCTTCAAGATCGGTACATCCGGGTCCATCACCTGCGTAATCGGCATGCCCTACCAACCGTGACTGCCACACAAATACCAGGTTTGAGGAGAGTGTCAGCTCAAACGATTAGGAACCGTCTGAAAGAAGCGGGTTTACGTGCCTGTAGACCAGTTGTTGGACCTGTACTACGCCCCCTACATCGACGCCGACGACTCAGGTGGTGCAACAACGTAAGGATATGGACTTTACAAAACTGGAGGCGCATCTGGTTTTCTGATGAATCCCGTTTTCTTTTGCAACATCACGACGGAAGAAAACGTGTGTATAGGAGACGTCATGAACGTTTTGCGCCCATCTGCGTCCGACAGGGGGACAGATTTGGCGGAGAAAGCGTTATGGTTTGGGGATCCATCTCATACAACCAGAAATCAGACTTGGTGATCGTTGAAGGGAACCTGACAGCCCAACGTTACATCAACCACGTATTACAGCCTCACCTTCTCCCGATTATTGACCAACAGACACAGATTTTTCAACCAGACAACGCCCGGCCTCATACTGCACGTGCAACAATGAACTTTCTGCAGAATTCCAACGTCAATGTCTTGCCATAGCCCTCTAAATCACCAGACCTCAAC